ACCCCCCCCCCCCCCCCGCCTCACACATAGGTTAAGCTGTTCGCCTCTCATTCAGTAGGCGCCCCTCCTCTGTGCTTCCGAATCTTTCAGCAGCCTTTCTACTGCTTCTCTTTTGCTCCTTCTTACTGCTGTCTGTCAGCCACACCCCTGATCTAATGGTAGGTAAGATCTACACCCTGCCATCTCGGACAAGGGCGAAACATCTCCTCGAGGTCCCGTGTGCAAGTTGCGCACATTAAAGATCCCATGGTGGTTAAAAATCGATAAGAGTAGGCTTCGGCCGCCAACTTGGCAAAATAAAAAATTTCCTACCAACTGAAAAATGTTTGGTGTGTTCTGCGCGCTCATATGACCTTATGCAGTTGCGAGCGCCGTAATAAAACACTTACCCCCCTCCCCCACCTCCCGCCCTCCAACAGCAACATAAACAAAACAAAAACCAACAAACAACCCCCCCCACAAAAAAAACAACAAAAAACAGACAAAAAAGCCCCTATCACCAACAAAACCCCCAACCAAAACTACAACAACAATATCAAAATACACAAACAACCATACTATTGGGGAAGTAGCCTATTTCATCTTTTGATTACTTTGAATGAGCTTATGCAAGAGTTCAGTTTTACCATATCAAATCACATGTACCGTATGTAACGTCACAGACCGTCATGCAAATATTCGCTCTCTGGGATCAACCAGGCGTATTAAACTTATTGTCTTGTCCTCACATGGGCTAACTAAACTAATATACTGTACTACTAATAGGCATCTAGTCAATTTTTGTCACCCATTTTATATACTAAGGGCTATGTATTAAATCATTGCCATTGTAATGGTGGCCCCATATTATATTGGCATGCGTACTTAAATTTAGCAAAGGCTAGAACGAAATTTTTGGTGACATACATTCTCTTTCTATGTAGATCTAGTCCCGGGCGCAGCTTTGTGAAGCGAGCATAATTCGGACCACAGAGGAGACGACACGAGCCTAAAATTAAATCTTTTGAGGACGAAGTCCTTTTGAGGGGAGAGTCAGAGAGTTCTTAAATTGCCACTGTTGCACTCAAGCAGTAAGAATGGAGCCCACAGGTGCACCAACGAATCTTATCAACGTGCGCAACTTGCACACAGGACCCCCAAGACATTCGCCCTTCATTAATCGAAAATGCTAAGTGTTACGTACTCTAAGATCAGCGTGTGGCTGAAAAACAGCGTTAGAAAAGAATCAAGTGAACAGTAGAAAGAGTCAAGAGTAAAAGAGAGAGGAGCTCAGAGAAAGTCGGGGGTGGGGGTAAAAGTAGGGGCAGGAAAAGACTAGAAAATAGGAAAGGAGGAGAAAGGAGAACGTTTCAGATAAGGAACTTTATTCCGCTGCTGTCAGGATTAGAATCCGGGACCTATTGAATGAGAGTCGAACACCATATGTCTAGACCATGAAAGAACCCCTGTTTCTCGAGTGACTCATGGCATTTGATATCGGTTCCCAAAATAGCTCAATTTAAGTTTCATTACGTTCTGGGGGAGTATTTGTTACTGTTTCTGTATCGGAGTCCTCCTAGTACTTCTCCATTCTTTATTTTCTGTGTCAAAGTGTTGGTGGAGCACGTAGACCCCTCACCTAAAGAAACAAAAACAAAAACAAACAAAACAAACGACCCCCCCCCCCGGCCCCCAAGTGCATGAAACGTTGCCGCCACTTTGCCGATTCTGACTTCGATGTCGTCATTTATTGTTTTCTCTCTCTCTCTCTCTCTCTCTCTCTCTCTCTCTCTCTCTCTCTCTCTCTCTCTCTCTCTCTCTCTCTCTTTCTCCTCTTTCCATCTATCTGTCTATTTATTTTCGGTCTTTTTCCATCTTCTCTCTTTCCACACCCCTCTCTCCTCAGTCCTCCCTCTTTCTTCTCACCAAACTCATGTCCTCTCTTCTCCTCGACTTTACAAGCAGACCAAAAGATCGACTAACTTGATCTTATAATTCGTAGCTAATGTTGCCATCTAGCTATGTAAAATGAAAAAATAGAAATGTTATTGAATGAAATTTGGCCCTGGTCCAGAATTGTACAACCTTATTATTGTTTTAATTATAAATAGTATGCCCTGTGCCCAAAGAGAATCTTTGCTTGCCTGCCAAAAAAGAAATTTCCGGAACTCTTACATTTTTGTCTGCTTTCCCAAGTGGACATTTGATTTTCGGTTCTCAAACTGTCAACTATCCCATCGCAAAAATGTCCACTTGTTTGTTACATCAAGGATAAATATTAAAATTCCTTGAAATTAATTCTTTGAAAGTATTATACTATTATATGATGGATAGTTCTGCAAGTTTTCTGCATGTATAAAAAACGAAAGATATTTATATTTTTGTTTTGTACCACCCTCTTTCTCAGTAAAATATTGAGGTGGCCGGGAATTTCTGGTCGACACCGTCTATGAGATAGCACAGCAAGTTCAACTGCTTGAACTCGTGTCGTGTTGTGTGTGAACCGGTTGTGAGTAGTGTTGTGGGCTGGCAGTTTTTGTTGTTGGTAGGCTTCTGGTTATAACTAGCTTTTTATCTTTCCTCGGTTAAATTTTTGTTTCCAGTAGTTTGCCTTCTTCCCCGTAAGCTTTACGTTTAATGAAAACTTTCCCGCTGTTTCCTCAGCACTGTCACCATCAGAGACCGAGTCCTCGTGCCTCGTAGTCGTAGCAGTCACTGCTGTTAGTAGGCTAGTGTTAGCCTACTGTTAGTGTTGGCGAAGTCTTGCATCAGCACGGAACTAAATAAGAATATTACTCAGCTGGTGCTAAACTAGATCCCTAGTCTACAAGTAAGCGAAAGTCGTATAATTACAAAGAAACAATGTGTTATGATGATACCCTACAGTGATCTTTAGATGTTCATGAAATAAGGTGGAAAAAAATAGGCTTACAAAAGGTGATGAATAATTTCTACCATCCATATTATTCAGCCCAGTCTACTTGGCCAGTCATGTAGAAATCTAATTATGTTTGAGTTTGAAAGGAGGATGTACACTGAACAAAATCATTACTAGATCTAGATATCTAGATCTAGAAGTCTAGATTTAGATCTAAAGATCTATCTAGATTTTACTCAGTCTATAATTTTAAAATTAATTTTCTCAATAATAATTCCTCTAGCAATCACATGTCACAAGCAAGAAAAGAAAATCTTGAATGATACTGTATCTTGCTTTCTCCCAATCTATGATCTGTGCCATTTGATACTGTCTTCATGTGTGTACTTCTTGCCTTTTCCAAGTGAGTCTGATAAGTCAATGTGGCAATGGAATTTTGTCAACCAGTTGCATGCTCTTTTTTTGGGGTCCTCGTTTTCATGTGTAGTAGGCATAAATTTAGTCATGGTGAAAAAGTTTGGACTTGGGTGGTTGCGGTCCCAACCAGAGGTACGAACGAGTATGCTTGAAAAAAAAAGGATAAATTATAATAAATCGCGTGTGTGTATAAATGCAGATGTGCCCAATTTTGAAGTAGTCTGCAATAGACTAAACTTTGCTATCACGCATACGTGTTGACATTCTGTATTGTTTACATCGTCTAGTTTTCCTGCAAATATTATTCTGTTGTGAGTGATTACTTTGAACCTTTTCTCAAGTTAGATGCAATTCGCTGAAATACAAAAAACCGAAGATGGTATCGTGAAACTGTTTGAGTGATGAGTGATGTGCAAATTTTGTTGAAAATGTTTGAATATTTGATCAATAAATGCAATCATGTAATTAAAAAATTTCTTCACATTTTTCAGTGAATTTGGCACCAACGAGACACAGTGAAACTCAGTTACTACAACAATCATGAAAAGTTCAGAGGTCCGTGATGCTTTTATCAACTTTTTCAAGGAGAAGGAACATCAATATGTTCACTCTTCGTCCACCATTCCTCATGATGATCCCACACTGCTGTTTGCAAATGCCGGGATGAATCAGGTACATATTTTAGTATTGTTGATGCTGTAGAGCTAGATTCTATAGAGCTAATCCTCCCAAACCCAAGCAGGCCATGGAATAAGGTCAGGGTTGTCCCACCAACAGGAAGTGCAACCCCTCCTGGTGACACTCCTGGCTGTAATTTTTCTACAGTCTCTCAGGTTTAAATATGAATATAGGTGTTTTTACGCCCCCATCAACACAATTTACAACATTTAGGAGGCAGGCCTGTCAGGACCAACCTGGGTTGAAAGCGATACAACATCCCAGCAGAAAGACCGAAATACTTCATAATATTCCCCCCCCAGTACATCTTTCCCCCGACTATCAAACTACCCCCCCCCCCCCTCAGTTAAAATGACCACTTCGCACTTCTTTCCTTGCGTTTTAAAAGATATTATAAAATGGCTGTGTCCAAGATGTCCACCGGTATAAGATAAACACTTTTCACCATAACAACAGGTGACTGTCTTGGACAGTTTTGACTGTATTTTGTATCTTTTAATATTACTGTATCAATGTTTATGTCCACAGTTTAAGCCAATTTTCCTGGGAGTTGTGGATCCCAACAGTGACATGGCCAAGTATGTGCGAGTCGCCAACACTCAGAAATGTGTGAGAGCTGGAGGCAAGCACAACGACCTGGATGATGTGGGCAAAGACGTCTACCACCACACGTTCTTTGAAATGTTGGGAAACTGGTCTTTTGGGGATTACTACAAGGTATCAGTCATCATCATCATCATGGATTTTCTTTTCTTTCGGTTTTTATGTTTATCAGGATTTTCAGTTTAAGTGACTCCACTGTATTTGCCTGTCAGTCGTTTTTTTTCTTATTTCCTCTGTTTATCTCTGTGTCTATGCTGCTGGCAGTTTGTTTGGACTTGTGGTTGGCATTGAGTAGATGTTGGAGGGTGCCACTGTTAGGTTTTTCTTCTTTACTACCCCTCTTTTGTTTCTGTTTGTCTTGGTTTTGTTTTTTTGCATTCTCCGAATAACCATTATTTTGTTGATGTGATTCTTTTAACTGAAACTAACAATGTACTGTGCGGGTGGTTGGTGGGTATTCTGGTGTGGTTTGCTCCTTCTCTCCTATTAAGCATCTATGATCCCTATCTCTCCTCCGTCTTTTTTCTGTTTGTTACTCTCTTGTATAGCACCTCTAATCTTCGGCATTTATGTGATCTTATTGTGTTGCAAGTGCCATAAAACACTTACTAAAACTAAAAGATGTACTGTGTCATGTCTGATTGTCATGTTGAAAAGTTGTGTGGACACATACCAAAGAAGGGGAAGTTATCGAAAAATCTTGTCAGTTTGCACTTTGGGTAAAAAAATTATGTGAAATACTTCTGCAACTTTAGCTTGTTGCTTGATTTGTTTTGTTGCTGAATTTGTTTGCCTAAGAAAGTCCAGTAAGATTATTTGATTTTGAATGTGTTTTTTCAGAAAGAGATTTGCACCTGGGCATATGAGTTTCTTGTTGACCGCCTGAAGCTTGACAATTCTCGTTTGTATGTAACCTACTTTGGAGGGAATGAAAAAGCTGGACTTGAACCTGACAACGAAGCCAGAGATATATGGATTAAGCTAGGGTAAGCCAGTCAAATTACTTTTTGAACATTGCTTTAGAATTAACTTTACTACTTACTAAGCTGTCAAGACATAACAGCAGCGAGAGCATACAGCCAGAGATCCATTAGGCAGAGAAAGAGGCAGGCTCAAGAAAAGATGGATAGAGGGGGGTAAGAATAACGAAACATAGGACAAAAACAATACAGTAGTCTCCGCCTAAACGCACGCCATACAAAAGCACGCTCCGCTCAAATGCACGTTTTCGTCATCAGACGGGTTTTTTACTATGTAATTTAGACATACAAACGCACGGTCACTCCCTCTAAACGCACGCTCCGATCCGCGGAACACGCTGACAGATTAAGCTTGAGAAGGGGAAATTTAAAAAAACAAACTGTTTTTTGATTGGTCACTGGAAATGCATCTTTGAGAGAAGATTTCTGACTAGTATTTGGGTGACTGCGTGTGGTGTAATGTTTAGTTAGACCACAGAATTCTGTGAGTTAGACCAAGGAGTTCGCATAACGCGTGAATGCAGAAAGCACTAGATAGGCCTCAATAGGGTTTAATATTAGCCAAGTAAGCCTAATCAGTTGCGCTCGAAGAACTTATATATTCTTATATCGTACTTGTTCAACGAATCACAAGAGAAATGATTCTCTGAATGTAGAGATCTATGATTCTGAAGTCGTCCGTGAATTTACGGTCAGCGGGTGGTCGCTTGGAAAGCCACGTGGCCGCGCCGTCGTCTCTATGACTATCTCCAACAGTTGCCTCTTAGCTGTTCCCGACGTTTTATAGTGCATATTCATTACATTAATTTACTTTGAGGCTGTCTTTCTACCCCCCCCCCAATCAACGCCTTTGTAGATCCTTCACAAAACAGTCACGTGTCGTCACATTATCGGCAAAAATTAAAAAGTGACCTTCACCCCATAGGGAGGTCACTAGAATATCAAGACAATGAAATGACTGCGTCCCTTCCTCCCTTTGCAAAGGTTCATGTAAACGCACGCTCCGTATAAACACACGCTGAAGAGCCCTCCCGAGCATCGTGCGTTTAGGGGGAGACTACTGTATTACCATGCAAAATACAATGCCACATCAAGAGAAAGACGTTTATTTCTCCCCTCAACACAATAAGGTACGGGGGCTGGAAAAAGTAAAAGTAAGACTAACTGAACACTTTCTGTATTAATAAATGTCTGAACATCTCGCCGGGATACAGTATCTCATAGATCCTGGATCGGAGGGGCCCGCTTCATAGTTGATCCAATTTGTTTTAATGGGGACGTAAAAAACGGTAACAATTAATCAACTTCAGTAATTTTTATGGCGTGTTCGTATGACCTTGTGTAAGTGCTGGAGCAGTAAAAATCTTACCGTAGTGGAATAATGTTTGTGGGGTTTTTACTTTACATTTTGATGGATTTTATCACTATTAAAGGGGATTACTCTTTGACCTGGGAGTAATGAGAATACTTTTGTTCAAGATAAAGCATAAAATTCTCGTGTTATAAATTGAATCAAATGCTAACGTAAAACTCTTACTATACTTTAAGAAAAAAACCAGGGGTGGTTTGACTTAGAAATGTTTTTTCTGTCTGGTTGGGTCTAAAACTTAAACTTATACAGAGAAACCTATTCTTGTGTTTTTAGAGTTGATCCGGAGAAGGTGCTTCCTTTTGACATGGGAGACAACTTCTGGGAAATGGGAGAGACTGGACCATGTGGACCGTGCTCCGAGATTCACTATGACCGTATCGGTGGACGCAATGCCAAGGAACTGGTCAATATGGACGATCCAGATGTTCTGGAGATCTGGAATCTTGTGTTTATTCAGTATAACAGGTCAGTTTAAACTCAACCCAGTGGTAAAAATATGCAATGGTTAGCCCATGAGAAAAGGTATTTGGGCAAACTGGACTGTTTTATTTTGGATACTTCGTTTCATAATACAAAACATTTAAAACATGCTATTTGATATTTATGTCATGCATAATTCACAGAGGTCTCTCTTATTTGTAAAATTAGTATGCTTCATGTGATGTGGTCCAATGGCCTCAAACACTTAATAAAATACCTATCCACATACCCAAACAAGTCAGTTGGGCACTGATTTGTCCTGACACAGTATTTACAGTCAAACTTGTTCTATCCACTACTTGTCCAAGACAATGGCCTGTACAAATGACCTCGACCTATTTCCTCTATGTGTTTTTGTCCATTCGTAATGACACTGGTCAAGAAGATCACCTGTTTAAGATGACCACTTTTCTCCTCGAGAGTGGATGATTGGTCGCCTTGGACTAGTTCGACTATATTTTATAACAGAAGCATTATGTTCAGATTTAAAAAAAACAACTACTTGCGAATTTTTACACATTAATAATACATTAATAATACAGTCAAAATTGTCAGAGACCCAGTGTAGAGGAGAAAAGGGGTTATGGTGGGCATGTGGACATCTTGGAAGTGTCGTCATTACGATATAGTAAAAACACAAGGGTAAGGTAAAAGTGAAAGGGTGGCGTCGATGGCCTGATGGTTATGCTACCGGACTCATAATTGTCAGCTCGGTCCGACGTTGTGTCCTTGAGAAAGGCACTTTATACAAATTTCTCATTTGGTTCCGTCCTTTCGGAGATGGACTTTAAACTCGGAAGGTCCTGCCTCTTAAATAGCCTAACTTTGTTAATAGCGGCGTTTAAACTTATACCTTGTCACCATTTTCACTTGGTTGTTTGTACAGGTGATTGTCTTTCTTGTACAGGTGATTGTCTTTCTTGTACAGGTGACAGTTGAAGCAGGTTTGACTGTGCTTTGACACACTTCCAATTTGTTAATGTTTCAAAATTCTTTATACTACCTTTTGCCAAATTGAATCAAATATTGTTTCCTTTCATTTTACAGAGAAACCGATGGCTCTTTGAAAACCCTTCCCCGCAAACACATCGACTGCGGTATGGGATTTGAGAGGATGGTGTCTGTGGTTCAGGATAAACCTTCCAACTATGACACGGATGTGTTTGTGCCTCTGTTTGAGGCAATTCAAAAGGTAAAGTTAAAGAACAATCGCACTTCTTTTTCTCTGAATTCATGTGTCTGCTCTAATGCAAGTTGGATACTTTGTGGGTGGGGGAAGGGTCTCTGTTAGTTGAACCAAATACTGTCTGTGTTCGTATAGGAAAATACATATTGTACTTTTTGTAGTATTGCTCCTCATGGGTTTGCCAATGCTGGAAAATATGAGAACGAAGCCCACAAGTCAATTGAGGATATCCCTTGATTCAGGTCTACTTTGAAAATAGCTTGTATTTATTGAATGCAGAAAAGTGTGGGAGAAAGGTTTGGGGGGAGGGGGGAGGGGTGTTACCTGGTCAATATCTACCTTCTTCATCAGCGGCATAGGTAGAATCTGTTTTTTTGGTTGTGAAGAGTTAGCAGCTATACTTATTTAGCAAGTCCTAAACAGGAACTGTGGGTATTCTTCTTCCCCCCTGTCTTCTGAGATGTTGTTTCCCTCTCAGCCCAGGCTGGCCCTATCTGGTAGAATTGAAACCCCGCCTCCTGAATTGTCTAAATTGTGTCAATGGGGGTGTAAAAACACCTACATTAAGAAAAAAAATCAGTGTGCTTTATAAGACATATGAGTAGCTTACAATAGCATTAAATGTGTGCAACTTTCATGCACAACAAGGATATTCATGGATATAATCTAGGTCTACATGATATAGTGTAGCAATGCAAATGAAAATTGAATTTTTCGCTTGATCCTTTTTTATTCGGTACACAAGAAAGAGTTTTCAATTCTAAGAATTATGCTTTTTGAATTTTAAGAATCAGTTAATAAATAAAAAAGTTATGGGGTTGTAAAGGTTGGCAAGATATGGATGACCCACATATGTAGGAAAATACTCCTAAAAGTGGACCAAGCAGTAGCAGATTCTGTAAGAAAATCGACGATATCTAAGTAATTAATTGGAGTGTTTGAGAGAAGCTTGACTACCCAATGTGTTTTTGAGTGGAGTAATCATTTCTGCAGTCAGATTAACTGACCATTTCGTAGTTATTTTGTTATAATTAAAATTTTGGTGCACATATTCCAATTTTGCGAAAAAGGGGTGTCAGGATGAGAGCATTTTATTTATAGCATCGTATCACAACATGGAATATTTAAGAATATTATGTTGGCAGCATGATTTAATGATGGCAAAGCTTTCTGTGATGACTTTAGACTATGCCAACCATAAAATATAATTTAATTCAATCTAACTGTTCAATTAAAAACCCTTTTTTCCCATTGAGACGCGAACACCCCGAGAAATCTTGCCTCGGAATATCCCCATTACGATGTTACTGGGGAACAGAGAGAAAAACAACTGGATGCGCGCCTATTTCAAATGACCAATGAATGGGCTCGGAATAGTCATGCAAGGATTTGTAGGTCACATACATTTGCCGAGAGAGTGAGGGGAAAATGGCCGGTCTCCGTGCGATGCCGCTTTGGACAGGGGAGTAGTAGTGCATTTATGATAGATTCTAAACAACTACTTGACACAGAAGGTTCAAATCTTAGCACACTGTTGAGGAAAGATAGATCTCTTACCATCTCGTGTCGAATATCAAACTCCTTATAGTTTTCGGTGTACCTGATATGAAAGTGTTCCGACTCCAAAAGTATGGATTAATTTATGTATACGAACTTCAACTTCCACATATCGTTAGTTTGCCCTATTTTCTGATTGGTTTCCAAGTTTCATTCACATTGGTCCCGAAATAGCGCAGAACAAGCTCGAGAAAGTTACTCGCTAATGTTCCAACCCAGTCCAAAACTTCACCCGCAAACAGGGACCAAATTATCGCCGCGCACGGAAGCCCGATTAGCATTGCTATATAATGACACAAATATTGTCTCTGGGCTAGCAAAATGACATGTCTCATTTTTGCTGCTTTTGAAATAAATGAAGAAAAAATGTTTGACTGACTATTTAATCATCTAATAATAACAAAACTTGCCACACATGTCTCTATTGTGACTGGCAGCGAATTTTTGTTTTGGTTTTACCAAAAGATAGACAGTACCACAAAAACAAAATAAAAGGCTAGTTGCATTTTGGCACATCTCAGAGTTCTGCCATTATGCTAATGCAAGGATGATATGCTTGTTAATGTAACTTTGGATCTAAGCAGACTTTCTCTTGCGGCAGGCGACTGGTTGCCCGGACTACCAAGGCCGGATCGGGGCTGCAGACAAGGACGGTGTGGACATGGCCTACAGGGTCCTGGCGGACCACGCTCGGACCATCACCGTCACGCTGGCTGACGGCGGACGACCCGATAACTCTGGCAGAGGGTAGGGACCCACTTTGTTTTCTACGAGTCTCTCGTATCGTAAATCATGACCATTATCATCATCATCATCATCATCATCATCATCATCATATTGACAATGGAGCCGAAAAAGAGCCTCGCTCTTCGAGTGGAGTCCACATCGCCCATTAAGGAAACAAAAAAAATCATCATCATCATCATCAATGTCTTTCTCACCCTGGATCAGGGCATCGGCCAAGGACAAACACTTTCCATCTTTCCCTATCCAGGGTCAGCCTCTTGATGTTATTCCTATTCCACGTCTTCCCACTTTTCTGTACATCATTTTCTGTAACTCCTCTCCAAGTTCTGCATGATTTATGCAGCTGCCTGGCTTTCTGAGAGTTTGTCATTTCGAAAAAGAATTTTTTAATGTTTGTTTTTACCTTTAGTGACAGGGCTTTTTAGTGGAGACGACTGCACTACCTTATGTAATGTACCTGCTTCAGAGGTGCACATGTTGTGAAGTTGTGTGACTCTTCAGGGCTTCCTAACTATATAAATAAGCAAATAAACTTTTGTGTGGCTGGTGCTCAGAATGTGATTTACTCCTTTCTTAACAAACATCTATCATTCTTATATGGCCTCCTTCTTTTCTTTGTATGTTCACTCTCTAGTAATACTTCTAACCTTCCTCACTCATATGACCTAATTGTCTTTGAATAAAGAAGAAGACACAGTATAAGTGTTAAAAGATGTTTAGTGACTGGACGAACTGTTTGAGACACTAGACATTTCCCTTACTTTTCATGAAAATATTTTCTGATTTACAGTTATGTTCTGAGGAGGATTTTGCGCCGTGCAGTTCGGTACGCCACAGAAAAACTGAATGCAAAGCCTGGGATGTTTGCTTCATTGGTGGACACAGTGGTGGAGTTACTGGTGAGTCAGTTACAAATTTATGCTTTGTGCCTCATGCCTTGAATGAAATTAGATCAGCTCTGAAAGTTTGAACCAGCGTCTGTGGTGTAGCAGTTGGGCACTTTGCTGTGGTACATAAAAGACCTGAGTTCGATTCTGGAGTGGGGAGAAATTTTTGTCGAGTATCTCGATCTTTCAGCTTGGACATTGTATCTCTCTTAGCCTGACAGGCAGGGACAGAAGTCTGCTTTCTAAATGATGTAAATGTGACAATGTGGGCGTAAAAAGCACCAACGTTTAAAAAAAGGTAGGATGAAATTAAATCAGTGCTGAAATCTTACAGAGCTTGTGGCAGACCTACCATGGATATACATGATAGAAGCTATTTTGTTATCTAAAAACAGCTTTGATTTTTTAAGTACAAGTTCCAGAAAAGTATTTGTTAGTGTTGGAAGATTGTTAAAGCTGTCTATATATCGTGATTATGTCTAATCATAACCGTAGAATGTAAAAATTTGTCTTGATTGTAATTCATTTTTTTTTTTTCAGGGAGATGCTTTTCCTGAAGTGAAGAAAGACCCTCAAGAGGTAATGGAGAATAAATGTTTTTCCTTAGATAGATTTTATATTTTTGAGCAAATGAGCCGATTGCTAAAGGCTGGTTTAATAATGTCACTACAACATAGATTTTCAAACAGTCAATTTTTATGCCTCTCTCACTAGCATACAACCTGTAGTGGATACGTTTTCTAGTTTCGTGGTGAAAAGATGATTGTATACATTACTTCACCAGTGTCTGCGGTGTAGTTGTTAGGCGCTTTGTTGTTTTACACAAGAGACTCGACTTTGATTCCTGAGTGGGGATACATTTTTATCGACTGTCTCAGTCTTTTTACCGGGATGTTGTATCCCTGTCAGCCCGGATTTTTCCTGACGACTGGGACGGAAGCTCGCCTCCTAAATAATCTAAATTGTGTTGTTGGAGGCATCTACATTTTAAACTTAGATATACAACACTTGCAGAGGAATGTTAGTCAGTTTTCAAACTCTTCTCAAGGTCCTCTATTGGGAGTGCCCCTGTCGTTATGGGAGACGTGACAAGTAACATGGGTGTGTTTGCTGGATTTTGTCACAAAGCGAGAAAAATGCCCTCTAGCATGCACACAGTGAAATCGGCAGTATGCAAAAATCATTTTGTGCAATTGTGTGTCTTAAGTACAAAGAATACATGTGTATAAAAAAGTCAGGGCCTGAAAATCTGTTTGCTATGTACAAAAATATTGTTTAGCACGCACACAGGGAAATCGACAGTACGCAGAAATCCTTTTGTGATGTATAAAATTCACCAATTATGTGTACATGTGTATAAAAAAGCCAGGGCCTGAAAATCTGTTTGCTATTTATACAAGTGAGTGTTTGACCATATGTGTGTGTTCACTATATGCAGGCTAGATTACAGGTAGTTTAATCCCTGTAAGATTTTCATTCATATTATCCACATAGGGTTGCTATTTGCTATACTATCAGGACCCTGCTGGACTGTGGTGCGGATGACTCTTGTTCAATTCCCCAGTGTGATATTTTGGAATTTTTCTTGCTTGGGGCAGCTCATGTGGCAGAATCCCAACTCTATACTAGTCTCACAGTGATGGATGGGGCGTGTCCTATACCTTACAATGAGATGAAAATGGACTGTTCTTTATAACCTGAGAAAAAAAGTGGTGCAAAATGATGTAAATAATGATGGGATTTTAGTTTTAGTAAGAGCTTTACTGCACTTTCAATACAAATAGGTCATAGTAAGTGCTGAAGATTAGAGAGTAACATGCAAAGAAAAGGAGGAGAGATAAGGACGATAGGTGTTTGATTGGAAGGAAGGAGCAACCACACTGGAGTGCTCGCCAACCTCCCAAGATGATGAGAGTGACCACTTACAGTTACACTTGTTGTTTTTTCCTTGTTTACAGATTAAAGAAATCATCAACGAGGAAGAGGCTCAGTTTTTGAAGACATTGTCAAGAGGACGTCGCCTATTGGAGAGGAGCATCAATAAAGTTGATGGGAAAATGCTTCCTGGTTAGTTGTTTTTCTTTTTTATTAAAAAAATTTCTTTTGTTGTATCAGGTATTTTATGCCTTCATTGACACAATTTAGATTATTCAGGAGGCAGGCTTCTGACCCTGCCTGTCACGAGTCCAGCAAGGTTTAGAGGGATACAATATCCCAGTAGAAAGACCAAGATGCTTGATAAAAATTTCTCCCCACTTGGTAATGGAACTCGTGTCTCCTGCATGCGATAGTGAAGCACCTAACCGCTACACTACAGATGCTGGTTGGTTAGTCGTTACTTCACTTCTTCGGTAACTGTTCGCAGAAAATAATCCTAGCAATAACCCTTGGTTGATGGAGCATGTTTTTTTTTATTGTGTGACCTCTCATCACTGGTGGTGAAATGTGGCATATTGGATGGCTTCAGGGCAATAAGATTCTTCGTGCGCTTATTGTGAAAATGTAAACATTTTAATATCTTTTCTTACTCTGAAGAAAGTCACGTCAAATTCCAAAAGTTTCCTGACTGAGCGTTTTTGAACTCTTCTCCCATCTGGCTTGGTCTTTTCGGGGACTGACATTTTGACATTAAATTCAAAAGTCCTGCATCTTGAATATCCCAATAGTGTTGATCACTGCGTTAAATACACCAAACTTAAGGATGACAAGGAAGCTGAAGAGTGGATTGAACGCGTTCAGAGTTCACTCCTTACAAAGTGGTCAGATGGGTGTTGTACATCCAGCCAGTAGGAAAAGGGTTCAAACCCATACATTAACACTTTTTTTTTGCAGGTGACATTGCGTGGAGACTTTATGACACGTACGGTTTCCCTGTGGACTTGACTCTGCTTATGGCGGAAGAGAAAGGAATCGGGGTGGACATGGAGTCTTTCGAGGAAGCCAAAAACCACTCTTTGGTGAGTTGGTGAGCGGATTCCTTACTTAAATTCATATTCAGAGATGAGGATAATATAATAGCTTTTATGAGAGCATCTCATATTCGCCAATGTGTCTCAGGTCTGACACTTGGTGATGATGGCTCAGAGCTTGAATTATGAAATGCCATCTTGAAAGTATGGAATAGCATCAAGAGGCTAGCCCAGTATAGAGAAAGGTGGAAAGTGTTCGTTTGTGGCCTATACCCTGGTGCAGGGTGAGAAAGGCAATGATGATGATGATCTTGAAAGTATGTACCTTTTATTCATAGTACTCTTATGTTCACAATGTGATGCCATTGATTGTGCTGTGATAGTATAAATGTTTACTCATGTGTTAGCGTTAGTCCAAACAACATGTTCATTCACCTGTCTTTTTTTATTTAGATGAAGGTATTGTAAAGTGCCAAGAGCTGTATTATACTGGAGCAGGCTATATAGAAATTACAGCCGAACCTGCACAAATGGCCACCCCCCCCCCCTTGCGATTTTTTAACATTATAATGACACTGCACAATGTCCACTTGTGTAAGATGCCCACTTTTCTCCTCGACGATGTGGGGCCATCTCAGACAAGTTCAACTGTATCTGTGAGATTGTTATAATTTGACGAGTGTCTTCCATCTTTAACAGCTCATGTCCCAGGGTGTGAGTGGCACGAAGGAAGATCTCATCGGCCTTGACATCCACGCGCTCAACGACTTGAACACACGCAAGGTGCCGCCCACAGATGATTCCCTCAAATACTCTTATCAGGCAGATGAGCAGGGCAACTATGGTAAGCTCATGTCCTCTTTTCTAGAGGTGTCCTAGTCAAGCAGTTCGGTGTCAGACTTGCGATAAAAAGTAATGAATCGACAATGTCACCACCGTAGTTTGAGACTTTGTGCAAGTTTTCAGGTTTTTCGGTGGCACTGTAAAGACCATATAACTAGAAAGAGCAGAGGAGTGTAGGACTAAGATGGTTTGAACAATTTTTTACTTATATAAATCAGTTGTTGTAAACACTTTAGGTGGTTCTAGTGTTATACTTGAATGAGTAATTTACTTTTGAAGAATACAAAAATACAAAATAAAGTAACATTTCAATGGGGGGAAAGATAACCAAGAAAGAAGTTTACGAGCAAACAGCATTTCTGGGGGGGGGGGGGTCCCTAACAGTTATCTTTAAGATTTAAAACGCGGCACATTTAGTTGGAAATACCAAATACAAAAGAGCTAGTTGATAGAAATGGGCAGGGTAAGAAAAGAAAATACAACAGAAAAATAATGGTTTTAAAATTAGTGAGTTCAATTCTTAGCTCTGCCAGGTAGAATGTTACATCTGTAGGTCAGCTACTTAAGCTGTAAATGGTTTTTGGTTTGTTGGCAGAGACAAAATATGAATAGTAGTGGTATGCACCTCACAAACTGCAATGCTGTATGCCCCACGAGGAATGAAATAATGGCTGCCTGTCCAAGATAAACATATATACGAACGTGTCAAGAGTTGGGTTGAGAAACCATGAATAGAGAGTCAAGACTGTTTTCAAGTTTTCTTAGTTTTAAATAAAAATACCATGTCCTTGTATGCACAGGCATGCTTGGTGCCCTCCTGTATTGTCAGCTTGTTGCTGCTTGAAAAATGAATTATTTTGCTGTTGTTCTTGTCGTTGTTGTTGTTGTTATTAATCCAGTTCCCTTTCAGCATGTGCCTTTGGCTTAAGCCATGTTTTAAAAGGTGGTCTTTCACATTTGTTTATTGCTGCAGTATAGGGTATTGTTATTGGCTGTAGTAGGAACAGGAGGAAAAAGTTGCTGTCGGAGATCCTGTTGTTTAGGTTATTCAAAGAGCAGATGTTGGACTGAATTAGTGGGGGGTTGACGGCTGCTCTGGTGTGGTTTGTTCCTTCTTTACTATCGAACGTATATTGTCTTTATCTCCCCCACAAACTTTTTTGTGTTTGTTACTCCCTTCTAACATGATCTCTAATCTTCTGTAGGCGGTTGGCGGATGCTCTAGTGTGGTTTGCTCCTTCTTTTTAGTCAAACATATCGTCTTAACCTCCCCTCCTTCTTTTTTGTGTTTGTTACTCTCTTGTATCACCTCTAATCTTCAGCTTTTATATGACCTTATTGTGTTGTTGCAAGTGCCATAAAACTCTTACTAAAGCTCTAATCTTCTGCACTTTTTGACCTTATTGTGTTGCAAGTGCTGTAAAACTTTTTCTAAAAAGTACTGAACTGAGTGTTTTCGTGTGTGTGTCCTTTCAGTGTTTGATGCCGCCACTGCCAAAATCACGGGTCTGAGATACAATAAGGCATTTGTGGAGTCCGTGAGCCCGGGACAAGAGTGTGGCATCATGCTGGACAGGACCTGCTTTTACGCTGAACAAGGTGGTCAAATCTACGATGAGGGTTTTATTGTCAAGGCTGATTCTGAGGTATTATAATAATAGTACTACTACTAATAATAATTGTGTCGGAGGGCGCCAATAGTACGTCCATGTCTTTTCTTTCCCTCTTTTGCTTCTTTCCGTCTTGCTTCTTCCATGCACTTTTTGACCATTATTGTGTTGATGTCCATCTCTGTTCTCTTAACTCAAACTCACTGCTGTTGGAGTGATTGGAGGGTTTTGTCTCGTGTGCTATGCAGGGTTAATTTTTTTAAACGTATTGGGTTTTCAAAACTTGTACCAGTGTTGTGCGCAGGTGACCCATTACGGTTTTGGTTTTCCAATTGTCTATCACAGGATGACGAGTTTCGAGTGAAGAATGTTCAAGTTCGTGGAGGATATGTGCTGCACATCGGTACTGCAGAAGGCAACTTCAAGATTGGAGACTCTGTGAAACTCGGCATTGATGAGGTCAGTCGCTCAGTATTTTTGTTCCTTTGGGTATTTTTAAATGCTTTTTGGGAAGGGGGGGGGGT